AGCATTTCATTCAACGATGGTCCCGGTCGAGCGGAAGTTCCCGTCGACTTTGAGAGCTGTGTAAACTGGGTGAGCAAACAAATGGTTTTATGTGCCTCCGTCCAATGGCACCGTCGTCGTCGTCGTCGTTGCCTTCTTACTCACGACGACGGCGCGCAAGTGTGTATACCGGGCATAGAAATGTGTGCACACTCGAGATTATCATGTAAAATAGGTAAAACTGATAGAATGTTTAACGTTCTCTCGTGCGTCGGTGTAAGATACGTTTCTGAACTATTTCAAACCAATTGTACAATTCACGTTAAATACACACACGCCTCTCAAGCTTCTCTCCATACTGAATCCTCTGTTGATTTTTATCAACTATGAACGTACAAAAACGCAGACGTTATTTTACTATCAGTTTTTTAATATAACGTGTGACAGAATATTTAGATATTGCGGAAGCTCGAATCAAAGGGATATCACTTGGTGAAACTGAATTCCGTTTCGAGTTCTTTAAACACAAACTCCATTCCGTCGATTACTATCAATCCTGGCGGACAATCCCGGTTGATACAGCCAGTGCAAACTTCGGGTCCGCATCCGAATTTCGATGAAACAAATAGAAAGGACCGTAGCAGCGCGGGTTCCCATCTATCTATTACAACGGCATCGGTGACTATTTGTCATTCTAACATCGTCGATCCGCACCGTTGGTATCGGGGTTCCTGAAGGAATTCCCACAAAAGGGAGGCTATGTGTACCGCCTAGACGCGGGAAGATGACGTCCGTGGAATAGTAGATGCCCTCGATGACACGGGAGGTGAATTTGGACGCCCGAGATCACGGGACGCGAATGAAAAATGGTTTCCAAACGGAATCCTACCGAAGCTGACGCATTGCGGTGAAAATATACACATGGTGAAGCGTACGGATCTGCGTCCCTCTTCATAAGTCATCAGGTATTTGATGAGAAGCAAGATAAGAAGAATATCCCTGAACCAATTAAAGAATTTTAATATAGTTTACCCCTTCGCTTATCGCTTTCATTGAAACTTTATGGTTCGACTAATTGCAGAAAATATTTTTTTATAAACGATGACAGCAGGCAGTCCGGACTGTATAAAATGCAGAGGAGAAGAACGACGGAATAGCTGAACAGGAATTAACGAGCGGGTTCTATAATTAACAACCGTCCCGGAACATCAGTCCGTTTCAAAAGGGGTAAGGAACTCTTTGTATCGCGACGCTTTACTTTCGCGGTAGGTGGTCCGAGGAGTTTGGCATTGCGGCGAGTAACGTCAAGAGGGCATCACGCTTGTTAACGCGCGAGACGGACGGACTTCCAGCGGCTAATTGGTATTCCACCGGCGCGCCGAGAAGTGTCAGCCTTTGACTGATTCTATTTTCGAGTAGAGTTGCGGCCTTTTGAAGTGCCTGCGGCGGCTGTGTTTACACTTCTGTAGGGAATCGTAAGACAGCAAAGTGGCCGGCCAGCGTCGCGCCGGACAATGCTGCCCGAGCCCGTTCTCAGACCGGTTCTATCCGGGGATTTCTTAGGTCTAATCGGTCACCTAAAGCCAGCGAGGCTCCCTCGCGAGTCTCGGGACGAGTCGACTATCCTTATGAAACGCACCTCGACTCTTTTTACTCCCTTTCCGATTTCGCCTCTTCATCCCGTCGTCCACGTTCCCTCTTTCCCTTTCTTTTTTCGCCCTGCGCGAAACGCGCGTTCATTTTTAACGTGCCGAGGCTTCACACCTTCGCGAGTGGATTTCGCGAACACTTGTGTCAATCAATGAACGTGGCGTATGAAAACAAAAATGCGAATCAAATAACGTTCACAATTTTTCATTAGTCATAGTTTAAGGATGTATTGGCTATACACTCAATCACAAAAGTTCATGTACCTTAGAAAAACGCATTTCCTATAATTAAAAAGAAATCAGACGTCGGAAGAATAATGCTAATAATAAATAGCTACGTACTAAAA